CAAATGTCTTCAGGAAGTTTTTAGAAACAACATCCATAGACATTCCCCTGTTCACTATCTTAGTTACCCCTTCAAAAAAATTCAATGATGTTTTTGTCAGGCGTGATCTATGTATGAATCCACGCTGGCTCTCCCTGATTCACTGAAAATTTTCAAGATATTCACTTACCCCATTCTTGATTATAGACTTCAACAATTTCCCCACCACAGATGTTAGGCTAACTGGTCTGTAATTCCCTGGATTTCCTCCTCCTTAAAAAGAAAAGTGGCGTGCAATTTTTCAATCCAGAGAGATGACTCCTCTATCTAGGGGACTCTGAAAGATTACAGTTATGGCGTCAATAATGTGCTCCCATAACTTCCGTTTACACTGCCAGATAGAAACCATCAGGCCTTGGTGACTTGTCATTCTTTGGTTCCATTAATTTCATCATTACTGATGTTCTACTCACATTAACTTCATTCAGTCCTTGTGCCCGATTCACTAATAAATTCCTCAGGACTTCCAGCAAGTTTTCTCTTTTTCTTCTGTAAATACTGACGCAAAGTAATTATTCAACATATTTGCCATTTCTACATAGTCATTGACAATATACCCACTTTCAGTCTTTGGTGAGCCAACATTACTCTTGATCACCCACTTTCCCTTTATGCAACCGTAACATTTCTGCTTATTGATTTTGATGTCCCTTGCTGATCTTTCTGGAAAGTATTGCTTTTCCCTCTCAGGAGTCTAAACTGGTTTTGTATTATGTTAAATGTTTCTTTAAACATCCCCCACTGTTCTTCAGTTCTTTTACCCATTAGCAGATTTTCCCAGTTTATTGTGGACAGTCCCTGCCTTGTCTCATTAAGATCGATAGCTGGTTTGAGCTTTTCACTTTCAAACACTGCATTGAATTTTTCCATAACTATCCTAAAACTAACAGTGTTATGATCACTATTCCCAAAATGCTCCCCCTACTAACACTTCTGTCACTTGACCTGCCTTATTTCCCAAGAGCAGGTCAAGTTTTGTTCCTTCTCTAATAGGAATATTTACACAGTGATAAAGAAAATTTTCTTGAACACATTTAACAACTTCTTCACTATCCAAAACATTAACACTATGGAAGTCCCAGTCAATGTTATTTGATAAATGTTCATGCACAATTAGGTTACTAATGAAATCCAGCTAATTACTCATTACTAACTCCAATATTGCTTGTCCTCTTGTTCCATCTAGGACATATTGCTGTAGGAAACTATCCCAGACGCTCTCCAGAAATGCACTGCCTTTCTGACAGGTGCTTGTCTGCCTTTCTCAATCAATATTAAAGTTAAAATCCCCCATCAATACTACTCTGGCTTTGGTACACATGCCCAATTTCTGCAGTTATACAATTTAACCCTTCAAAGCTGCTACCAGGGGCCCTTCACACACCATCTGTTAGATTTTAGATATTTTATTGTTCCTCAGTTCTAACCATACAGTCTCCACTCGATGCTTTCCTCTCATTATATCCTACCTCACCATTGAAGTAGTTTTGTTTCAAATCAGTAAGGCTAATCCAACCCTTCTGCCACTTTCCCTGTCTGTCCTTTAAATTGTATTTATTTCCCAGTCCTGACCATCCTATAGCTATGTCTCAGTAATATATCATAACTTGAATTTGTGCCTCCGACTCACTTAGTTTACTCCTTACACTGTATGCATTTGTTTACAGAACTCTTATTTGGGTCATACACTGTAATCCATCCTTCAGCACAGATGCTTTATTCATCTGTTTACTATTTCTCTCTTCTGGTTAAATCAATACACTTCTAGTTTTGCCATTAGTTGCCATACTGGAAGTAGAATTCCTGACTGTATTGTTACTTCCTGTCCTGTTACTTGATCTTAAAGCCGTATTCACTTTCTTGAGCCTTAGCTCCCAACCTCCACCGAAACAAACCACCCTCATTAGCCTTTCCTCTTTGCCACTGGTTCCAGATCAATTCAGGTGGTACCTGCCCCGAAGGTACTGTTCCCTCCTGGATCCTTCCCCTCCCACTCCAATATCCTTTCATGCCAATTGGAGATCTCCCTTACCTTGACACCAAGCAGGCAACACACCATGTGGGACTCTCAATCTTGCTTACAAAAGTTGCTTATCTGTCCCCCTTATTCTAGAATCCACCACTGTTTTTGCTCCCCCCACTTGGGTGGTCTGCAGTACCACAGTCGTCAGTTTTCCCATCCTCCCTGCAGGCCTTTTCCTCATCCACGCAGGGACCAAGTACCTCGTACCTGAAAACAAAAAATGCTGGAGATCACAGCGGGTCAGGCAGCATCCATGGAGAGAGAGCAAGCTAATGTTTCAAGTCTAGATAACTCTTCATCAGAGCTGACGTGAAGTGTAGAGGGAACAGCATTTATGAAATAATGGGATCATGGGCGTATGGAGTACTGAGGGATATAGGTTGTCAATAGTTCAGATTAAGTGATCATAATGTGAGAGTGGCAGAACAATTGTGTGGCTAACTGTCAGACTGGAAAGAACAGACAATTCCACTGGGGTGGGGAGAGAGGACGTAGTGACACAGAATGTAACAAATAAAGCCAAAAGAAAGGGAAGGAATGGGAGTGGCTCACATTTGAAGGTGTTGAACTCAACATTAAGTCCAGAAGATTTGAGGTGCCTTGTCTGAAGATGAGATGTTGTTCTTCCAGTTTGCGCTATGATTCGCTGGAGCACTTCAGCATGCCAAGGACAGACAAGTGGGAATGTGAGTTTAACGCTCTGTTAAAATGACCGGCTTTGGGGAGTTCGGGGTCATGCTTGCACACAGACAAGAGGTGTTCTGCAAAGCGGCTATCTGGTCTGCATTTCCAATGTAGAGTAGGCCACATTGGATGCAGCAAATACAATACACAAGATTAGAGGAGGTATAGGTGAAATGCTGCTACAGGTGAAAAAGAGAAACAGCCAGACAGACAGAGAAACACACAGAGACATGCAGACAGAGAGAGATAGAGAGAGAGAGAAAAACAGAGACTCAGAGACAGACAGAAAGAAAGTGGGACACAGAGAAAGATAGAGAAGGGAGAGACAGACGGAGAGAGAGAGATATCGAGATAGAGAATGAGTGTCTAGAGGTTTCTGCCCTATACTGTACACACACTCTCTGTTCACCACCCAGGAGCCGGAGAGGCCCCCCACCCCATCCTCACCACCACCACTGGTTTATGCAGCTGCATAAACACAACTCACAGTGAGTTCCAGTAATGTGTTTTAAAAGTGTATCAACTCCTTCCATGGTTCTGAGTTGGAGGGGAAGGGAGAAGCAGAACCCAGTTCCTGTGGTTTATAGTTTATGTAATAACATCATAGAGTCATACAGCACAGTAACAGGCCCTTTGGCCCAACTTGTCCATGCTGACCAGCCTTCGTAAACTTAATTGGTCCCATTTGCCTGCCTTTGGCCCATATCCCTCTAAATCTTTCCTATCCATAAGAACATAGTAATTAGGAGCAGGAGTGGGCAATTCAGCCCTTCAAGCCCACTCTGTCAAGTATCCATGTACCTATCCAAATGTCTTTTAAATGTTGGAATTGTATCCTGCTCTACCACTTCATCTGGCAACTGGTTTCATATACACACCATGCCTCTGTGTAAAAAAGTTGAATCCTGTTGAATCCACTCATACCTTAAACCTCTGCCCTCTTTCTCCATGTTGGACCACAATCCAAATTAAAGAAAGAGTCAAATTTCAAAGATGACATAAGAATCAGAAATAAAGTAAACATTGAGGAGGATAGTTAGGAGGATGTGGACAGGCTTCTGAAATGGGTAAAGACACTGGAGAGGAAATGTCATACAGCAGAGTGTGAGATGGCACATTATTGGAGGCAGCAGGAGGAGAGGCAGTGTTTACAATGCAATACTGCAATTTTACAGGCAGTGAAGGTGTTGGGGGTGTAGGTATACAAATAATTAAAAATTGTGGGTCAGATTGAGAACCTTGTTAAATTTAAGCCAATATCCTGCCTGCTTTTTGTTAGTTATTAAGAGGGCTACGCTATGAAAGTAGGGAAATTATGATAAACCTATTATAAATCATCAGGAAGGCCTCAGCTAAGGTAGTTCTGTTGTGGGCGCCAGATCTCAGGAAGGATGGCCTGACCTGAAAGTGCAAAGCAGATTTGTCAGGACCACAGTGATGTGTTGAAGCAGGGGTTCTCCTTCTCGAAGCAGAGATAGTTAAGAAGGGGGCTAAAAAGGAATGAGAAAAAAGAGAGGACAGAGCGAGGTATCGATTACCAAAACCTGTTGAAATATGCAAACCTTAGTGGAACTGAAGATTGACTAATAGGAAAATAACTTTCTCAAGAAGACAGAACTTGACAGTCAGCACTTTTAGGAGAGCAGAGAGACCTGTACCGTTGCAAGTGCAGTAGCAATTGTCCCTTGGAGCAATGGCCACTCTTTATGACAGTTTTAAGAGTAATGGTCACTCTCCACAGGGTGTGGCAGTGAAGGTCAGTCTGTGTACTGTGAGCAGGGAAATGACTGTCACTCTGTGGGTGTGGGAATGATGGTCACTGTTTACGGTCAGTGTAAGAGTGATGGTCACTCTCCACTGGGTGTGGTAGTGGTCAGTGTTGTAAAGTGAGTGATGGTCACTCTATACAGTGGGTGTGGGAATGACCATCACTGTTTACAGTGGGTATAGGAGTGATGGTCATTCTACACTGGGTGTGGCAGTGATTGTCAGTGTTGTAGAGTGAGTGATGGTCACTCTGTATAGTGGGTGTGAGAGGATGGGCACTCTGTGAAGTGGGTGTGGATATGATGGTCACTCTATACAGTGGGTATAGGAATGACCATCACTGTGCAGTGGGTGTACTTTTGATGGTCACTCTTTACGGTAAGTATGGAAGTGAGGGCACTCTGTTGAGAGTGCACTGGTTGTGGGAGTGACAGAGATATTGTGCAGGTATAAGCAGACTGGAATAAAATTTATTTTTCTTTTGCAGCAGAATGTTGTGAACACGCAGTGCGGTTATGACATCCGATCCCCGGATAAGGTATAAATCTCATACTGTTCTTCTCCACGGTGCCATGTTGAGAGTTACTCGGGATTATAATGACTTGGTTCCATTCGCAGATAGTGTCACTATTCTCAGTGTTCCAACTCTCAAAAGGGCCTGGACTCTGTCAGGTCCCTCCACTAAATGTGGTCACAATTCCAATCTCCTCCTTGTGGAGGCTGGGTTGTGTCAGAGGGTCTGGCAGTAACAGCTCCTGAGCACTGACATCCCTTGGTGAGTGCAGAGACGCAGAATCTGCAAACAAACACTCTGCTCCTCTCACCCAGCAACATTAAACCCTTCTCACCCAGCGCGAATGAGCCCATGTCCGGCCTCCAGGATCAGGGGAAACTGCTGCCTGTATCCCAACTTCAGGATCGGGGAACAAGCCCGTGTCCTGACTCCACGATGAGGGGACTTGGGAGCAACAGGAGGCTATGGATTATGAGCTGGAGGCAGTCACTGAGTATTGAGTGTATTTGCCATTTGAAGCTGCTGGAATCTGGGAAATTAGGTAGAACAGTCAGGAATGACCTTGGGACAGGAGTTAAGAATGGGATTCAGCTGGCATTAAAACATACTTTGTCTTTCTCCAGAACACAATGAAAGACAGTCTCGTCATTTACACCAAGGGCTGTATCCAGGCGTTTGAGGACTGGTTACCAAAGAACATCTACTTTGTAGCTGGGGCCTTCCTGGTTATCGCCGCCCTGCAGGTTAGAGTCAATCTTTCTCTTGGCAACTTCTGCACATTACTGACTTCCAGCTCAACGTTTAGACATGTTTACAGGTTCACCGCCAAACTCAAATAATCCAAAAACACACTGACTCTCACTGGGGTACAGTCCCACACACACACTGACTCTCACTGGGGTACAGTCCCACACACGTTGATTCTCTCTGGGGTACAGTACCACATGCACTGACTCTCACTGGGGTACAGTCCCACACACACTGCCTCTCACTGGGATACGTGTCCCACACACACTGACTCTCACTGGGATACAGTCCCACACACACTGACTGTCAGTACAGCACAGTCGCATCTGCTGGGCATTGTGATAACAGACCATTTTCATTCTATCTGTAATAATGCTTTTAATTTTAAGTTGTGGAAGATGCTAATTGAAGCCTTCTGTTTCCCACAGATGTTCTCGATTTATCTTGCACGCTCTCTCATCAGTGATATTGAAGCATTGAAAGCTGGCTGGCGCTACTGATGTTGTTGTTTACAGGGAACCTCCTGAAACATCTTACTATCGAAGTTACAAACTGTTGAGAAGTATATATTTTTGTATTTGAAAGATGCTAACTATAATATCTAAATAATTCGAATTCCAGACTTTTCCATTCTGTGCTCCCTGTACTTTAGTTTGTTTAAGGTGTAATTTAATTGGACACAGGACTTTGTGGCTGAGGTCCTGTCTCACCTTATGTCTTATTCCTTCTGACTGTGAGCGTGCATTTGTCGAAGAGTGTGTTGACACAATTCTTGTCATGTTGTCACTGATTGAATGCTTATGGATGATTGAATTACTGCCAGACTTGACAGGGGTGAGGTGTATGTTCTTCCACCAGGGGAAAGCGGACATGGCCACTGTTGCTCTGGAATACTCAGCCAAAATTGTAGAAATATCACTCAATCTTTGTACTATTGGGGAACATACAGAGAATGCAAGTTATTCTCCCACTGGGTTTAACACTGGCAGCAGGCTATGAGGCTGGTCATTGAGTCGCATGAACTTCACTCGCTGTTGTCAAAGTTTATTTATAAACTGATCACTGAGATAAAGTCTGAGGGTAGCAGCTTTGTTTGAGTAAAGATCGCACATCCCTCCTCACACACCCTGCAAATTCCACTTGTGCCTCCTACAAGTAGGCTCCTCACACCCCATAATATCCTCCTCAAACCTCCAGCAATACCCTCCCCACCCCCAGCAACACCCTTCTCACTCCCAGCAATATCCTCCTCACCCCCAGCAACACCCTCCTCACCCCCAGCAATACCCTCCCCACTCCCAGCAACACCCTCCTCACTCCTAGCAACACCCTCCCCACCCCCAACAAATCCCAGCCAGCGCTCTGAGCAAACATCAGCATTTCCTTCTCAAAACGTTTAATCTCTGATTGGCTGTTTCCACTTTACTGATAGTTTACGTTTTCCAACTGTTAAAATAGAGAGTGAGGATTGAGCGTCAAGTCCCTCTCCAGTAATACCCTGTCCAGTAGAGCCCTCTCCAATACTACCTTCTGAGTCTGGGGTGTTCTGGTCCGTCTGCTTTTATTACATTCCATAATATAGTGTTTAAATGTTTGTTGGTAGAGTTAAATGTCTTTTGTGAATAATGATGGGATTGCAGGATCTAAGCTCCCAAGGGATTAGTCACCATCTGCCCTGTGACCCTTTAACTTGTTGAATCAATATTGCGTACATTTCTAAGGCAATTTGCCACTCATTGAACTGACTGATTACAACATCTGAACTCCTTACCTCCCTTTAGGCTTCCCACTATCAGGTTAATTACAACATCAGCTACCCACCAAGATGAGCTCAGCTTGAACTATCCACTCATTCCACCTTCTGGTTGCAGATGTGGGAAAGGCTAAGACCAATCAGGGGAATGGCAGTGTGAGAGTAGTGTTGCAGGCCAGACATGGGAAGACAATGGGTGAGTCTGAATCTGAGAGAAGTGCACTTTGCTGCCAGATTCTTGGAAGGCAGTGCAAACTGTGAACCAGAAACCAGCTCTTTTTAGGGCCAGTCTTGGTTTCCCATCAGTGACCTGCAGTGAAGACCCTGTGATGGGCCCGGCCCAGTGTTGGTGGGAATTAACCCGTGAGCCTCTTTCTGCCAATTGTCAGCAGAACTGATCTGACGCAGGTCACAGCTGACTCCTAACCTCCTCCTTCCTTGAACACACCCCTCCTGTTTCTCAGCTTCTCCGCCCAACCCCAGCTCTTCTTTATTCATCTTTATTCTTCCTCTAGATCCACCTCTGTTTCCCCAACAGTCTCTGTCCCCAGTTACCCATCTCCCGATTCCAAATGTCCTCCAACTCCCCCTCCTTCCTCAAACTTCCTCCTATCCACCATTCACCCATCTCCCAACTCACCCCACCTTCCCTCCCCTGTTGCCCAATATTCTCCTGTTCCCTAATTCTTTCAAGACCCAAGACCCCTTCCAGACCCAATCCCTAGCCAAAACTCCACCTCTCCCAAACTTACCCTGACCCGCTAATGTCCATGCACCCCCAACCCCAACCTCACCCTGTCTGTCAGTGCCACCTCCAGACACACTTGTACCACTGCTATTTCTCCCTACTGGAGCCTTAGTTCCCAGCCATGGATAGAGTGTTGTTTGGTTTGAACTGATCATTTTGAGTGTTGTGGCTCGGTCAGTTCAGAAATATCAAGAACCACAGGAGTATTTTTATTACTTTAAAGTGCTTTTTTTTTAATATTAATTTGTATAATTTTTGAAAAATGTGCTAGTAGCTACAAAATTTGTGGAATTTTTGCTATGTTTTGTATCTGATTTTCACAAAACAATAAATTTTATGTGAGATCCGCAGTCATTTGGTCTTGCCATTTTACATTAAACACATGCATCTGCTGTCCATGAGACTGAGGGCTTGGGGCAGCACAACATGGACAAAGTCATATAACCACCAGCTAACATTTTCATCCAGAGGGCAGAGAGAGAGAGTCATGCGGCATAGAAACAGGCCCATCAGCCCACAATGTCTATACCAACCAACGAACACTAAACTACACTAATCCCATTTACCTGCACTTGGTCCACAGCCTACTATGCCTTGGCATTTTAATTGCTCATCCAGATGCCTCTTAAATGTTGTGAAAGTGCCTGGCTCCACTACTCTCTCAGGCAGAGCATTCCGTATTTCTACCACCAAAATATTTTCCTCAGATCTCCTTGAAACCACTTACTCCTCACCTTAAACTTATGCCCTCTGGGTGTTAGACATGCCTGCAATGTGGAAAGCGAATTTCATGATCTACTCTGTCTATGTCTCTCATAATTTTGTGTACATCAATCAGAGTCCCCCCTCAGCATCCTCCTCAGCTCCTGAGAAAATAAATCCAGTCTTCCAGTTTCTCCTCATAACTGAGAGTTTTCATTCCTGGCAACATCCTGGTGAATCTCCTCTGCACCTTCTCTAGTGCAATCACACCCTTCCAACAGTGTGGTTACCAGAACTGCACACAGCATTCCACCGCAGCCTAACCAATGTTCTATAAAGTTGGAAGAAGACTTCCTTGTGCACCCAGTAAATGGAGGCAGGCATTCCATACGCCTCCTTCACCACTCTGTCTACCTGTGCTGACACCTTCACCAATCTCTGGACTTGTGCACCAAGGTCCCTTTGTTCCTCAGTAATCCATAGAATCCCTATAGTGTGGAAACAGGCCCTTCGGCCCAACACATCCACACTGCCCCTCAGAGCATCCCACTCAGACCCATTCCCCAAACATACCTAATCTACACATCCCTGAACACTATGGGCAATTTAGCATGGTCAATCCACCTAGCGTGCACATCTTTAGATTGTGGGAGGAAACCAGAGCACCCGGAGGAAACTCACACAGACACGGGGAGAATGTGCAAACTCCACACAGACAATCGCCCGAGGGTCGAATTGAACCCAGGTCCCTGGTGCTGTGAGGCAGCAGTGCTAACCAGAGCCACCGTGACGCTCTAATGACCTAACATTCATTATGGAGATGCTTCCCTTTATTAGGCCACCCAAAATGCATCACCTCACACTTATCATGATTAAATTCTATCTGCCATTGCTGTACCCAATTTACCAGCTGATCAAAATTAGACTGTAGCCTGAGACCATTCTCCTCACTATCAACAACACTACCAATTCTCGTGTCATCTGAAAACTTACTAATTATGTCATCATATTATAGTCTTTAATTTATATAACAAACAGCAAGGGACCCAGCACCGATCCCTGTGGTACACTGCTAGTCACAGGCTTCCAATTCCAAAACCAACCCTCCGCCAATCACCCTTTTCCTCCCATTTACCAGCCAATTTTGGATCCAGTTTATCAACATGCCTTGGATCCCATGGGCTCTTACCTTTTGAACCAGCCTCCCATGTCAGACTGTCAAAGGCCTTACTGAAGTCCATGTAAACCACATCAACTCCACTACCCTCATCATTTATATTTAGTCACCTTATAGAGTCATAGAGAAAAAGATGTACAGCACACAAACAGACCCGTCGGTCCAACTTGTACATGCCAATCAGATACCCTAAATTAATCTAGTCCCATTTTCCAGCATTTGACCCATATTTCTCTTAAACCCTTCCTACTCAAGTACCCATCCAGATGCCTTTTAAATGTTGTGATTGTACCAACCTCCACTACTTCCTGTAGCAGCTCATTCCATGTACACACCATCCTCTGCATGAAAAAGTTGCCCCTTAGGTCACTTTTAAATCTTTCCCCTCTCACCTTAAACCTATGCTCTCTAGTTTTGGACCCTCCCACCCTCCAGGGAAATAACCTTGTCTATTTACCCTATCCATGCCCCTCATGATTTTATAAGCCTCGATAAGGTCAGCCATAAGCCTCCAATGCTCCAGGGAAAATAGCCCCAGCCTATTCAGCCTCTCCCTATAGCTCAAACCCTCCAACCCTGGCAACATCCTTGTAAATCTTTTCTGAACCCTTTCAAGTTTCACAACATCCTTCCCATAGCGGGGAGACCAGAGTTGAATGTCGTATTCCAAAAGTGGCCAATCAGTGTCCTGTACAGCTGCAACATGACCTCCCAACTCCTATGCTCAATGCACTGACCAATAACGGCAAGCGTACCACATGCCTTTGTCAATACCTTGTCTATCTGAGACTTCGCTTTCAAGGAACTGTGTATCTACACCCCAAGGTCTCTTTGTTCAACAACACTTCCCAGAACTCTACCATTAAGTGTATAACTCCTGCCCTGATTTGCCTTACCAAAATGCAGCACCTCACTTTTATCTAAATTAAACTCCATCTGCCACTCCTTGGCCCATTTGTCCATCTGATCAAGATCTGAGGTAACTTTCTTTGCTATCCACTGTACCACCAATATTCAAGTCATCTGCAAACTTACTAACCGTAACTCATATATTCAGATCCAAATCATTTATATAAATGACAAAAAGCAGTGGACCCTTGCAGCACACTGCTGGTCCTCCAGTCCGTAAAGCAGCCCTCCACCATCACCCTCTGTCTCCTACCTTTGAGCCAATTTTGTATCCAAATGGCTAGTTCTTCCTTTATGCTATGTGATCTAACCTTGCTAACCAATGTACCATATGAAACCTTGTCAAACATCTTACTGAGGTCCATGTAGACATATAGACAATGTCCACCATTCTGGCTTCATCAATCTTCTTTATCACTTCTTCAAAAAACTTAATCAAGTTAGTGAGAAACAATTTCCCCCCGCACAAAGCCATGTTGACTATCCATAATCAGCCCTTGTCTTTCCAAATACATTTAAACCCTGTCCCTCAGGATCCCCTCCAACAACTTACCCACACTGACATCAGGTCTATAGTTCCCTGGCTTTTCCTTACCCTAGCAATCACTTCTCTAGCTTCCCACAAATGTCTAGGGTACACCTGATCAGGTCCTGGGGATTTATCCACCTTTATGCATTTTAAGATGTCCAGCACCTCCTCCTCTCATATGGACACTTTTTGAGATATCACAATTTATTTCCCCAAGTTCTCTAGCTTCCATATCCTTCTCCAAAGTAAGCACTGATGCGAAATACTCGTTTAGTATCTCACCCATCTCCTGCACTTCCACACATAGGCAGCCTTGCTGATCTTTAAAGGGCCCTCTCACTAGTTACTCTTTTGTCCTTAATGTATTTGTAGAATTCCTATGGATTTTCCCTAACCCTATCTGCCAAAGCTATCTCATGTCCCCTTTCTGCCCTCCTGATTTCCCTGTTGAGTATACTCGTACTGTCCTTATACTCCTCTAGGAATTCACTCAATCCCAGCTGTCTGTACCTTACAGAGGTCTGCTTCTTTCTATTGACCAGATTCTCAATTTCTCGAGTTATCCATCATTCCCTACACCTACCATCAAAAAACTCAATTAGACAGGATCTCCTTCGAAAAAATCCATGCTGACTATCCTAAATCAATCCCTGCCGTTTCAAGTGTTGATTAATCTGGTCTATCAGAACTTCTTCCAAAAATTTCCCTGCCACTAATGGCTCTGTAATTGTGTCACCTAACTCTGCTGTCCTTCTTGAACAAACGAAACACATCAGCTATCCTCCTGAAGTGAATGATCCATCTCAGCCTCCTGCTCAGGTCCCCAGCATCATGTTGATCTTCAGCTAGTTTGATTCACTCCACCTGATATCAAGAAATGGCTATAGGTCCCAATCCCAGCTATATGAACACAATGAGTTAGGAGTAGGAGGAGGCCATTCAGCCCCTCAAGGCTACTCTATCATTTAAAAGTACTGTGGCTAATTGGAACACTCCACATTCCATCTGCCTTTGAAGACCTTCCACACCCTTGCTTATCACAAATCTATCCATGTTCACCTTGCAAATATCCAAAGAGACACCTTCCACCACCTTTTCAGGAAGGGAGATTCAAAGACACTACACTCTGTGAGAAAACAATTCTGCTAACCTTTGTCTCAAATGTCTCTGAAATGGAAACAGAAATTACTAGAGAAACTCAGCAAGTCTGAAAGTGCCTGTGCGATGAAAGCAGAGTTAACATTTTGAGTCTGTTGACTCTTCATCTGAACTCTTATTTTGAAACAGGAATTATCACATCCACACTGTCCAAGACTCCTCACAATCTTTATTTTTCAATCAAATTGCTTATAGTCTCCCAAGCTCCAGTGAATACAAGCCTGAGTATAAATCTCTGTTTAAGAACTTGCCACTCCCCTAGCCAGTTGTTCCACAACAGTTACAACAATTACCCACAGTGTGGAAACTTGCCCAGGTGCGTTCTGTACACAAAAAGGACAAATCCAACACAACCAACTATCTGCTCAGCAATAGCCTGTTCACTGACGTCCAGTTTGGGTTCTGCCAGGGCCACTCAGCTCTTGACCTCATTGCAGCCTGTTTCAAATATTAACAAAAGAGGTGAGGTGAGAGTAACAGCCTTTAATATCAAAGCCACATTCAAACTGAGTGTGACATCAAGGAGCCCTAGCAAAACTGGAATCAATGGGTATCGGGGACAAACTCTCTGCTGGTTGGAGTCATACCTGGCACATAGGAAGATGGCTGTGGTTGTTGGAGGTCAGTCACCTCAGCTCCAGGACCGATCCGCAAGAGTTCCTCAGCGTAGCGTCTGAGGCCCAATCAATCTTCAGCTGCTTCAATGACGTTCTGTCCATCATAATGTCAGAAATGGGGATGTTCACTGATGACTACACAATGTACAGCATGATTCGCAACACCTCAGATACTGAAGCAGTCCATGCCCAAATGCAGCAAGACCTGTACAATACCCAGGTTTGAGCTGATGAGTGGCAAGTAACACTTTTTTTGCA